TGATAAAAAATGTAAATTACCTGCAAAATGAAAATACTAGCCTCATAAAGGTAAAAAATGTCATGATGTTAATGAAAGCGCAATTTTTTAAATGATATGGCACAAACAGTGAAGTAGGTAGAATTAAGGATGATGAGGAAGAACTAGGAACTTCAAAACAAGAATCTGGATACCAAAGTGGCTCAACTTCAATTACCAAGACATTTATTTCCCAACGAATCCTGTAATAGAACATATTTATACATAACTTTACGACTCCAACTTTCCCTGTCGGCAACACTCTTTCTCCTCCATTTGAAAAAATTCTGCTCATCCAGTAGTTCAGTTCATATGTTACTTCCTGTAATCGTTTCCAAACTCCAGGCAAAACGATTTCTCCTTCCATGAGTCCAAGGCACTAAGAAACAATGCTAAAAGAGCAATTCGCATACCACCATATTCTAGTTAAGTTCCACAAGCCATCTGTCTCACTTGGTAGATGATGCTTAAATTCTTTAAGAGCAAGAACCATGCTCATACCCAGTACCTAGCAATCTCCATGACATAGAACCCACTGTCAGTGAGTCAATTCCTATAGGGACAAAGTAGAATTGCTCCAGAGTTTCTGAAGCTATAAATCTTTATGGGAACAGATAGTCTCACCATTCTCCTGCTAATCTTTCAGATAGCAGCCCAAAGCTTGACACATTATGCCACCAGAGCACTTTCAAAGGAGGCATGTTGCGGACCGTGTAAGACTGGTCAGAGGTTCGAGGCCCTATAGTCCAGAGTGTAACAAATGAGGCCACTGGCAGTTAATGGCAAATTGTTTTTCATCTTAATATTATTACATGTATTAATTTAATACACGGAGCTCTTGGTAATCCACAGATAAATGTGATATTTTCCTAAAGCTAAGACTAAAGTTGCAAGGTCAAGTCTTTCTCCAAAAGGATTCTCTTAATATTTTGTGTGCCTCTGTCAGGGACTGACCTCGACATAGTTATGTTGTTCACGAGTATTTGGTTCACGAGGAGGAGCGATCCAGCTACTTCTCGGTTCTTTGTTCTATACACAAAGAACCCATCCTCCCTAATCCCTTTTCCAGGTGCAGCCCATTCACCTGGGCGTCTCCTGCAGAACTCTCACCTTCCCCCAACTAAGCTCAGGGGCTATAGATATGTTAATTGGGCCTGAGAATCCAAGTTGCTGGCCTGGGATTCGAACCAGCGAAGTACGACGTAAAGTTACCTGAATGTCTGAAAAAGTACTGATGTTAGCTGTACCTTGCCTAAGTACCTCCCAGCTTGGTGTGACGCTCCTCCCCTAAATAAAACAGAGGCCCTGGCCTCCCCAGGTGCGCATTACTGGTTGGAAGGCATGGAGTAAAGATTGCGGTGCATTATGGGCTGGAAAGCATGCAGTAAAGACGGGCTGGAGGGCATGCGGTAAAGATTGCAGGGCAGTGAGTTGCTGCCTGCAGAGGCGACATGCCTGTACTCCCAAGCCTGCCCACCAGTGATGTATCCACCCTGGATTTGGGGTGCCTCATTGTCTCCCTTCTTCTGTTTGTCTGTGTATTCTTTCGCTATCCCTATCGCCGCTGGATCTCCCCTCCTCCTGAACCAAACACTCGTGACAACATAACTATGTCGAGGTCAGTCCCTGACAGACGCACACAAAATATTAAGAGAATTCTAGAATCTTAGATCTAGAAAAAGGCAAATAGGCCACTACTGGTTTTCAAATGCAAAGTGGCAGTGACAAGACTGAGTCCCAGGTTTCCTTTCCAATAAAATTCATGAAGACAGGATTGTGCCTGTCACTGCTCCAAACTGGCCCACGACAGAGAACCAGGTGCACTGTAGACACTGGCTCACCAAACAGACCACCTCAGGTGCAGTGCAGTCCATAACAAAACATGAATACAAGGGCAAGTCAGAAAGCATTGCTACAAATCTCAGAAACCTTTATTACAAATATGAAAATGTGAAGCTACTGTTTCTCAACATATCTTCCACCTAGGTCTATATAATACTAAACCTTCCCTTTATTAAACAAAAACATCAAAATGTGAAGGCTACTGTTTTTTGAAAGATCCTCTAAACTTCTTAAGGCAATGTTTTCATTGTCCTGATGTGGCACTGTAGGTTAACGCACTGGACTGCAAAGTCGGTTTAAACCTCAAAGTCCATGGTTCAAGCTCACTCAGTTGCTCCTTGGAAACCCTATACAAGGTTGCTATGGGTTGGAACCGCCCCATGTATAGGGTTTCCAAGGAACGAGTGGTGAGCTTGAACCATGAACCTTGTGATTCGAACTGACTTTTCAGTTCAGTGCATTAACCCAGAGCCACAATTGGGTTGCTATGAGTCAGAACTAACTGCACTTACATCAACAATCCTTCCCTGAATGCTGTTCTCTTCAATTTACACATAAAAATGGCAGTTTTGGCATTCTGGAGTTTGTGGAACCAACTTTGAAATGTTGAGTATGTGGAACAAAAAAGAAGTGTGAAAGGGTAAGATCAGGGCTACTGGGAGAACGGGTTAGTTATCAATGAAACTCGGAGGCCAGCCCTTGCTACTGCTGATGAATGAACAGATGCAGTCGCACAACTTTCCTGGCCTTACCCCACCCATGCCGTTCTCAATTTCTTCAAATTTCTTCTATCAAGGCATAGATGTCCCTTTTGTGATCCAAAAACACTGTGGCCATAACCTTCCGCAATGACGTCTCATCCATCTTTGAGGTCTTTCAGCCCTTCCTTAAAATGCTTAATCCATCCAATAACTTATTTTATGTGGGATAACATCCCCTTGAAATCCTGGTGTGGTGCTTGGGGTTGATGCATTGGACTGCAAAGTCAGTTTGGAATGCAAGGCCAATGGTTCAAGCTCACCAGCTGCTCCTTGGAAACACTATATAGGAATGCTATGAGGGTCAGAACTGACTTGACAGACTTAACAACAACATTCCTATAAACTTGCTGCAAAGTTTCAATGCAAAAGTCCGCCTGAGTTTTGTTAAAAATTAGTCCTGATCACGAAATATTTTTTTCATAAAAGTATTGTTTGTTTGAAAGCCCCCCAGCAAGACTAAGAGAAGTATATTACTGAGAGAACTTGTCTGCAGCCATTCATCCACTGATTGCAGAGACTTGTTTAAACACAATTGGTTTGCAATAAACCCATGAATACATGAACTGGAATCACTGGAGCAATATTTTTTTGTCTTATCCTCATTTGTTGTTAAGTGCCTTCTAGTTGATTCGGACTCATAGCGACCCTATATACGGTTTCTGCCGAGGAGCAGCTGGTGGGTTTGAACTGCTGACTTTGTTGTTCGAAGTACAGTGCTGATCCTACAGTGCCACACCAGAAATCCTATCATTACCAATCCACAAATCTTGAGAAACAGAGAAGTCCTAGTTAAAATTTTACACCAGTCTTGTATCAAATTTCCAAACATAGAAATTCCGAAAACTAAGTAAAATCCTCTTGCATGGCAATATACCAAAGTAGTGTAAACCAGTTTCCAGGCTTGCAGGTTTACAGAAGCTTGTCTCCATAAAGGAATGGGATCATTAAAACTGACGTGCCAGCATCTAAAAACCTAGACAGTGCAGACCATTTCAAATGCTAATAAAACGCAAGTGTCAACTTGTCTTTGTAGAACTCAGACACAGGGGTTCACGTTTTAAGGAAGTTCAAGTTTACTGGCCAACAGTCCCATACGATTCGCGGCCTTCACGGAGACCTGCTACGTACGGAAAACGACTACTTCCAGCAAGTTAAACATTTGGATTTCATCAAGACAAATGGTAAAAGAAACAAGTCAGCGTTGGAAGACAGAGCCAGTCCTTCCAGGAATTTCACGTAAGCGTGTCCCTAGTATTCGCTGACAAACCCTGATAGCCGAAGGGAACTACGAAGACAAGGGAGGGCAGGGCCCTTGGCAGCCCCTACAAGTGGGGGCTTCAAGCAGGGGGGAGGGCGTGGGGCCGGCCTAGTACGACCAAGCACGAAGGTGGGAACACAGGAGAGAGCAAGCTCCGGGCTGGTACCTCTCCACAAACCCCCAACCTGGACCGACGCCCAATTTCCGGACGCGGCCCCCTGAAGCGGGGGCGGTGGTCCATTGAGGCCACAGGCGGCCTCAGGCATTCACGGCCCCCCAGAAGCTGCCAGGCCAAGACACCCTTTCGGAGACCGCCCAGTCTCAGAGCAACGGCCGCGGCCAGGAGCCACCGCCCACCCCGGTCCGCCTGCGGCCTTCGCCAGCTTGTTCCCTCCTCGGCAAGCTCAGCCAGGTTGGCCTTTGCCCCAACCGGGCTGCAAGGCCCAAACTCCGCCCGGTGGGCTCTGGGACGGTGGGATACAGCAAGGGTTGGGAAAATGAGAGGCCCAGGGTCCGACGCCCCCTCAGCACTCACCATGGCGGATCCCCAGAGCCTGCAGCAAGCAGCACCCACCCCGCGCTGAGCCTCCCGCGGTCAGGTGACGCTGCGGCCCCTCCACGCCCCGCCCTCCTTAGCCCCGCCTAACACCCTTCAAGCGGCTCCTCCATTGGCCCGCTTTTAGGAAGCCAAATCTCGCATGTTTATTGGCCCTTGTCATTTATCGCTAGATTGACGGACCTGCGGCCCAGCCAGTCTCTCTATAGTGTGTAGAGGGGTGGGGCCATGAGGAAATCTAAGAAGAGTAGTGGGGAAGCCTTCGGTCACCAGGAAAAAGGAGCAGACAGGAGGAAAAGGCAACGTATGATGAGTCTGTCATGAAAAGATTGGAAAGCGATGAAGAGCTGTCCACGTTTGCCCTCTGCCTTGGTGTGGGGGCGTGCCCTCCTGGGCGCATGCGCTGAGAGAAGCCCAGGATTGGTTTGTGGGATGGTCTCCACTTCAAGTCCTAACGAATCCAGATGCGTCTGGGGGCGGGGCCTTGCTCTCACTGGTCTTGCGGGTTCTGCGCGCGGCTTTCGTTGCGCCACAGCTACTCTTCCTGGTCGTTCGTGTTCGCGCCATGGATTCAGGGCTTATCGGGCGTTTAGCCCCGCGTTTGGGTATCGCCGAGCCAAGTGTACTGAGGTGAGTCCGGCCATGCCCACCCAGGGTGGCGCCCTGTCCAGCGCGACGTGCGCTCCGGAGTAGGAGTGGGACGCCGGAACCCAGCGGGGTTTAGGGCTTTTTGGCAGCGAGCTTATGTGAAATGGCAAGAAGAAAGGGGCGATTGTAGACGCCCCTGGAAACAACTAGTTCTATGGGAGACGCGGTGGTGGGAGAAGGAAGGCGTCGGGAGAACTGGCTGCTTCTCAAATAATAACTGAGGGTCTGTCTACCGCGGTGAACTAGACCGACGCGGTACAGCCCCAGGAGTCAACGGCTACAAAGCAGATTCAGCCGGGTGCCGGGCAGAGCACGACCGGCTGGCTGCTTGAGATGGAAACGTTGAGGGAAGGCCTCTAATTGGTGGGAGGTGCCGGCCATGTAAAGCGACCAGTGCAGAGGCCACCGTCCCAGCAAGACTTTGAGTTCCAAAGCCTTTGTTTGCTCTAGAGGCAGAAACAGACGCTTTGGGTAGAGCATGGAGAGCGGAACTACTATGGGTGGGCTGGTCAGGTGAGGGAAGGAAAAGAAAGGAGCACGTCTTTTATACAAGACCTCTTGGGCTTGCAAAGTATTTAGAACCCTGGTTCTCAAAGGATGATGTGCGGTCCAGTGTCATCTTGACACTTGTTAGAAATAAAATTCTTGAACCCTACCGCAGAACTAATCGGGAACTCTCGGGATGGGACCCAGCAGTCTATATCAAGGAGTCCTCTCCCCTCCATACGCACACACCAAGATGTTTCTCATCTACGCTAAAGTTTTAAGCACTATGGATTTAGAGGAAGGGGTAGAAGAACTAGACCTGATTTAACCTGCCTGCCCATTAAATTATTGTTCCAGTAACGGGAGGTAGAAAGAAAGATTGTGTGTTGAAAGAATTGAGGAACTTGTTTTACATAAAACCATTTCTTGTTAAGTGCCATCCAGTGAGTTCTGACTTACGAGGAGCAGCTGGTGAGCTTGAACTGCCAACCTTGCAGTTCAAACAGCTTTGCAGTCTGGCGCATTAACCCTGGCAGAATTGTTTCTACAGACAACTCCTCCAACCCCACACCCCATGGGATGTGAGCTTCATTCCCAGCCCCAAATAAGCATGGGTAGTAATTAGACTCAGGATGAAGCCCACACAGTTGTAATCATTGTTTGCCAAAACGTTGAGTAAACTCTTGGACAAGAGTTTTAGTAAATGTGTTGACCTTATAACCAGGAAAGCAGAGGAGTTCTTGCGACTGTCCCAGGTGAAGTGTATTGGCCTGTCTGCACATACCACGGAAACCAGCAATGCAGTCATGTGCCTGGATCTTGCAGCTTCCTGTGTGAAGTGCCCCTTGGACAGGGTACGTAGGTCCCTTCATAACGCACACACACAGTCTCTCTGTCTCTCTTTAGCAAATAATCGTACACATTAAATTGTGGTATTATAAACAAAGCTAAAGAAAGCCTATGGGATCCAGTTCTGTGATACACATGGGGTCATCATGACTCATAGTTCCCTTGATGGCATCTGGTTAACTCTTTCTAGAGGACAGTATTGAATGCCAGCTCCTATGGGCTGTTAGGTATTTACACAACTCATTTGAGTAAGACACACCCCATTATGTATGTGTTATGTGTTTTACAATCCCTTGGCAACTTTTGCCTTTTGCTGAAAGGGAGTACATGTGTCATTGGGAGTGGGGGGAGTGGTTGTGTGGCATCCCCACTACCATCACACTCTGTCACTCTGTGCTCATTTAGCATTCCACCCTCTTGAATGTTAAACTCAAGGTATGCTGTTTTAGCTGTTATGCAGTCAAGTCGGTTCTGACTCATAACGACCCTGTATAGGGTTCCGATGAGCGACTGATGGGTTTGAACTGCTGAATCTTGAGGTTAGAAGTCCAGTGTTTATTCTACAGTGCCACCAGCATTCCGTTTACTGAGTTACGATTTTGTCAGTATAACAACTTTTTTTGCCAAGAATTTCTTCTGGAAAACTTCATTCTCTTATATAACCCTGACTCTGCTGTTGGCTGACCAGAGTTGTTAATCATCCTGTTTCCGCCCCAGATTCCGTGTCTCTCTCTCTCTCCTGGCCCCTCCTTCACACATACACTTTCCCCATCCCACTTCCACTCCTTTGCCTGCCTTCTTTTCCCAGTGAATTGCATTTACACCTTTATTGAAAACAAGTCACAATATATATGTCTCCCATGGTTTTTTAGTCATTGTTTGGCTGTATCAACATTATGTTGTGTTTTAAATCATCTGTTAACAATGGCCTTTCTATATTATGAGCTTATGAGAAATATTTTTTGTCTGACTTAATTATTGATTATTGACTTAACCTAAACATTGAGGTACTGTAATTTGTCATAAATAATCAATTTTGTAAAGTTGGTACCCGCTTATTCAGTAAGTGCTTAAGAGCACTGCTATACAGAAGTTACAAGTTTTATGATTTGTATATGTTTTTCTTTCAAAGGCTTATTTAATTAAGCTTTCTGGTTTGAACAAGAAGATGTATCAGAGCTGTCTTAAATCTTTAGAGTGTTTACTGGGTCTGAAGTCAAATACTGGAATAAGAGACCTTGCTGTACAATTTAGCTGTACTGAAGCAGTGAACATGGCTTCAAAGATATTGCAAAGGTATGGACATAAATATCTTAATTGAGCATATATGGTGGTATGTAAAGAAAAACATCCAGTGTCCTATTCTAGTAAAATTTGTAGCTTAAGAAATTAACTAATATGCTAAAGTTTATTTAGCATAGTTTATTAAGTACATAGTTCATGTAATAAAACTTAGAAATTCTGATTTGCATTTATCATAATCATAATATTTTCTAACAAATATTTCAATAAACACTGCTTTCTCTTAGCTATGAGTCCAGTCTTCCACAGACACAGCAAGTAGATCTTGACTTATCCAGGCCACTTTTCACCAGCGCTGCACTACTTTCAGCGTGCAAGTGAGTATGCCTTTAAATATTCAGAAAAGGTCCCAATTTATAAATGGATGTTTTAGTCCCCAAAATGAGCTCTGGTGGCACTATAGGACAAACACTGGACTGCTAACCACAAGGTCAGCAGTTCAAACCCACCACCCACTCTGAGGGAGAAAGATGAGGCCCCTGCTCCTATAAAGTCCCGAAAACCCTCTACAGGGCGCTGTGAGTCAGAATTGATTTAATGGCAGTGGGTTTGGTTTGGGTGGGTTTCAGTCCCAAGGAATACTTAATTGAACTTAACTGTAATTAGAACATATCTTCCGTTGTAAGTAATATTAGGAATAGTGGCCAGTTGACCAGATTCCCCAGTTTATCCCATAACTTAGCTGACAATTTGGAACTAGAAGTCCACTTGGCCAAGTGACAGTCATTCATTAGTGACTTGGGTGTTCTGATTCCAGTGTCTGTCTTTTATAAGTGATGAAATTTGTTCATTGGCACAATGACCATTTGTGGTTTTCCGGTTATATTTTAAAAAGAAGAAAGTACTGATTGCAACCATTTTTCAGGTCCTTTATAAGATTTTTTACTTCTGAATCTTAATCTCTGTGTTAGCTAAAATGATAGCCTATTGACCTAGCCTCTATGGTCAACTAGAGGAAGATTGGGGGGGGGGGGGGGGTTTTTTTTTTTTTTTTTTTTTTTTTTTTTTTGGATAAAGGAAACAGAGTAAATTGCTTCAATTTAATGAACCTGACCTATACTGAGAGCGGTAGTTACTCTAAATACCAACAGAGAGGGAAAGAGTCTTCACATCAAGTATCAATGCTATCCGCTCTGTACAGATGGGCAACTTAGACATTGGCTACCTAAAATGAGGGGGCAATAAAGGCACGAAGTGACTGGCTTACAAGGTTTCAAGAGGGAGTTTAGTTTAAGAGTATGGGGGGAAAGAAAGAGTCCCTACTGAATAGCTGTCATCTTGTCTAGATGGGTCTGCTGAAAAGAGATGGGGATAAGCTTCAATAGTGAATAATTGTTATCCTGACTAATTGCGACTGTCACAATTGTAAAGGTAGACAGAAGTTTTGTAACAAAAAAAGGGGAGTGGTTAATCTTACAGTCCAGAAACAGAGGACCCTAGGACCATCAAGAGAGAAGCGCGCAAGCAGAATGCAGGACCTTATCCAGAGAAGCAGCAGCGCCAGAGATGGGGGCATGGAGAGGGAGAGTGGCTGAGGACTCTAGATTCATGGACTAAGAGGAGAGGGACTAAGAGCTGGTGGCCAGGAGGCAGACCTGCAGAATGTGCCCTTTGGAGATGTAAATTATATATATGTCTGAGCGGTTTTTTGTTTGTTTGTTTGTTTGTTTGTTTTTCTAAAAAGCTAAAGTGGATAGAAAGAAATACTGTTAACTGATGGTACATGGAGGGGATTATAATCATGGTAATGAAACAAGGTGTATGATTTTTTTTGATGTAAAACTGATGATATGCCCTGTAAACTTTCACTCAAGCCACAGTAAAAACCTTAAATAAAAAATAAATAAAAATGCATTGCCAACAACAACCAAAAAAAATCTAAGAATGAAAAAATATAAAAAAATGATAGCCTAGAAATATTAGTGATTGTTATTTGTGAGAAGCGATTCTTTGAATTAATGAAGCTATATGTCAACACTGGTGTGGTGCTAAAGGGTGAGCACTGGTCTGGTAACCACAAGGTCAACAGTTCAAATCCATCAGCCATCAAATCCATAGAGTTCTCATAAACTCTATACTGGGTTGTTGTGAGTCATAACTGACTCAACAGCATACAACATGTGTGTATAGAGAGGGAGTTTGGCTGTTCCTATAGGAAACAACAAGCCTTGTTTTCTAATAATTCCACTTTAAGACCAAATTACACTGAGCATAGTAAGGTGTGACCAGATTGTCCTGATAAGTTATTTTTTTTATTAGTGGTTGTTAGTGGGTTTGGGGAAGACTGGGGCACATCCCTATAGGATAAATAAAAAACAATCAAGTTGATTCTGACTCAGAGTCAGAATTTCAGAAGATGAGAATCTTTATAGGAACTTAGAAAGTCTCATCTTTCTCCTTCAAAACGACTGGTAGGTTTGAACTGCTGGCCTTTCAGTTAGCACCCTACTGCTTATTCTGTGGCACCGCAGGGCAGTGCATGATTATTATTCATCCAATTACAGTAGAACCTGTGAGACCTGAAACGTGTCGGTTCTGCCTTGTTTTTCTGGGTCTCGCATGTTTTTGACAAGCTACAGTCTTGCCACATTTCTGTCATTCTTTATTAGAAAATATTTTAATTTTCCTTCTCTGACAGATTCTGCCTTAACACAGCTTCCAACTTTTCCAAGTTTTACCGTAGTAACATCTGAGATTTATTAAGCTAATGTTTTAAAATTTCTGAAGCACACTATAGTAAACCTTTTTATCTGTACCTTTGTTACAAAAAGATCCAACAAGCAACTAAATAAGTAACTTAATAGGGTTATAGCTAATATCATATGCTTGAAATAAGGAAAAACTAGACCCTTGGAGCTCTTTATAAAGCATGAGTGAATGGAAACAAGTTGATAATCTGGTTGGCTAGAAAAGGTACTATTCTGGATTAAGAAAAGTAATTTATCTAATTCTTTTGTAGGATTCTAAAGCTAAAAGTGGATAAAAATAAAATGGTAGCCACATCTGGTGTTAAAAAAGCCATATTTGATCGACTGTGTAAGCAGTTAGAGAAGATTGGACAACAGGTTGACAGTGAGTATTTCATGATTCAAGAATGTGTCATTCAAAAACAAGCCTGCTGGTAAAACTCAAATACTTTTACATTGGTAAAATTGCTGCTCTGAATTCTGTATTTAATGTGGACCTGATACATTTTTAATGGGAAAATTGTTTTCCCTATTTTTCAAATAAAGTAGTTTACTAACATTTTGAAAAGAAAAAATAGGACACCATGCCTGTAGAGTCACTTCTCCATCCACATGCTAGAATTTTAAATGGCAGCCTCCATCTACACAAGTATTGTAGAATTACAAATCTATACATGCTGAAGTCACATTACCTGGAATTTACTACCTTTGTGTGATTTTAAGAAAATCACTTAGTTGTTGTGGACTTTCATTTTCTACTCTATAAAATTTGATTAATATTAGCAATCCAGTTCATTGGATTGTGGTTCAATGAGATAAAAGAGATTTTTAAGTCTGACAAGAGAAATCAAAGAAAGGAAAAGGGAAAGGTGTTTTCCTTCTCCCTGTCTTAGTGTCACAATACTTGGTCAGTCAAGGTATCTAATTTTTATTTGTGATCCAAAACATGCCCAAATAATAAAATCAAGAATGGAAAAATGAACCTTCATAACACTTTTTCCTCCTTAAAAGGTGAGCCTAGAGATTTAGCTACTCCGCCACAGAAAAAAAGGAAGACAGTGGTTGAACCCACAGCAAAAGGTAAGGTTTGCTAACACTGTACTAACATGGAAATTCATGCAGTGGAATTAGTGTGCAGTTCGGGTGGAAGCAATAAACAGTCTTCAGCAGTTTGCCTGAACAGAGTTGGACTTTCAAGTAAATCCTGACATTTGACAAGACTGGTTTTCCAACAATCATTAACAGAAATACTGTGTAATTACAAATATGTACTTTCTGAAGCAAACTGCTTATACTTTACTACCACTGTGTGATTTTAAGAAAATCACCTAATTGTTTTGGACCTCCATTTTGTAAATCTGTAAAATTTGATAGATGTCAGCATCCAGCTCGTTGGATTATGGTGAGGGTTAAGTGAGATAATGCTGTTTACAATTCTTAGTTTGTTGCCTTCCAAGCAGTCAGTGCTTGATAAATGTTGTTGCTGTTGTTATTAAGTGCCGTGGAGTCAGTTCTGACCCAGGTGCCATTAGTCTCATGTGCACCAGAACTAAACATGGCTTGGTCCAGCGCCGTCCTCACAATTGTGATGTTTGAACTCATTCTTGCAGCCACTGCATCAGCCTTTCTTGTTGAGGATCTTCCTCCTTTTTGCTAACCCTCCACTTTACCAAGCATGATGTCTCCCTCCTAATAATAGGTCCAGGGACATGAGATCCAAGTACATGTGTGTCTGCCCTCACTTCTCAGGAACATTCCAGTTATACTTCTTCCAAGACAGATTTATGTGTTCTTTTGCCAATCTTAGATTCTATATCCTTCGCCAACACTATAATCCAAAGACATCAGTTCTATGTTCTTCCTTATTCATTGTCCAGCTTTCCCATGCACATGAGGGTATGGAAAATACCATGGCTTGGGTTGGGCTTACCTCAGTCCTCAAAGTGACATCTTTGTTCTTTAACACTAAAAGAGATCTTTTGCAGCAGATTTGCGCGATACATCTTGTGATGTCTTGACTTCTCTTTCCATGAATGCAGACTGTTGATCCAAGGAAAATGAAGCCTTTTACAGCATCAGTATTGTCCCAGTTTATCAGTATGTTATTTACTGGTATAGCTTTCAGGATTTTTGTATTCTTTACATTGAGTTGTAATCCATACTGAAGACTGTGAACTTTGCTCTTCATCAGTAAGTTCAAGTCCTTCAGTTTAAGCAAACAAGGTTGTGTCATCTGCATATTGTAGGTTAATGAGCCTCCCTCCAATCCTGATACTATGTTCTTCATGTAGTCCACTTCTGGGATCATTTGCTCAGTATTGCGTAAGTATAGTAAAAGAATACAATCCTGACATACACCTTTCATGATTTTAAACCAATCAATGTCCCCTTGTTCTGTTTGTCTATGTACAGGTTCCACATGAGTACAATTAAGTGTTCTAGAAATCCCCTTCTTTGCATTGTTAACTCGTAACTAGTGATGATACGCATACTTACATGCCTTTGCGTAGTCAGTAAAACACAAACATCTGGTATTCTCCGAGTTCAGCCAAGATCCATCAGGTGGCACCAATGATATCCTTCATTCCACCTCCTTTTCTGAATCTGGCTTGAATTTTTGGTGGTTTGGTTTTGTTTTAAAATTTTAGTGTGAATTGAGTGAAGGTTTACAGATATGGTCATCAGTTTTACATTTAACATTTCATACACTTTGTTTCATCTCAATGATTGCAATCCCCTCCCTGCAACAACAGTTACCTGCGTCCTCCTTGTGCTCCCTAGTTCCATTCCACCCTCCTTCCTATCCCTTCTCAACTTGGTCCTTAGGAAAGTTTTGCCCTTTGGATTTTGAATGATTGACCATTGCATGGTGAGTTTATAACCATTTTTAAATCATCTTCAAAATTCTACTTGCAACAGTTTCCACCTTTTTTTTGGGGGGGGGGGTGTTACCTTTCTTTGGAATGGGTAAAAATATGGATCTCTTCCAGTTGGTTGGCCAGTTTCTTGACATAGACTAATGAGTTCTTCCAGCACTACATCAGATTGCTTAAACGTTTCAGTCGGCATTCTGTCGACATCTGGAACCTCTTTTTCCACCTTAGCTTTCATTGCAGCTTGAACTTCCTCTTTCAGTGCCATCAGTTTTGATCATATGCTCCCTCTTAAAATGGTTGAATGTCTTTTTTGGTACAGTGACTTTGTGTATTTTTCCATCTTCTTTGGCTACCTCAGCATCATTCAATATTTTGCCCATTTGTTGATATTGTTGAGTACTGTCGAGTCAGTACCTACTCACAGTGATGCATACACAACAAAATGAAACACAGTCCAGTCCTACGCCAACTTCACAATCTTTGTTACATTTGAGCCCATTGCTGATGCCACTGCCAATGCATCTCACTGTGGGGCTTCCTCTTTTATGCTGACCCTCCATTTTACCAAGCATGATGTTCTTCGCCAGAGATTGGTCCCTCCTGATAATAAGTCCAAAATAATGAGAGACAAAGTTGGCCATCCTGGCTTTCAAGGAGCATTCTGGCTGTACTACTTCCAACACAGATCTGTTTGTTCTTTTGGTGGTCCATTGTACTTTTAATATTCTCCAAACCATAACTCAAATATATCAATTCTTAAATGGTTTTCCTTATTCATTGTCCATCTTTGACATGCATATGAGGCTGTTGAAAATACCATGTCTTAGGTCAGGTGTATCGTAGTCCTCAAACTGATATCTTTGCTCTTGAACACTTTAAAGAGTTCAAGAGCAAAGATATCAGTTTGAGGATTTGCCTGATACAGTACATTGATTTCTTGACTACTGCTTTCATGAATGTTGATGATTTATCTGAGCAAGATGAAGTTTTTGGTAACTTCAGTTTTCTCTCCATTTATCTTGATGTCATTTATTAGTCCAGTGGTAAGCCTTTAAGTCCTTTTTGCTTTCAGCAAGCAAGATTGTAGTGTTTGAATATTGCAGGTTATTAACAAGTCTTCCACCAATCCTGATGTCACGTTTTTCTTCACATAATCCAGCTTCTCTGATTATTTGCTCAGCATACAGGTTGAATAAGCATGGTGACAGAATTCCTGGCACACACCTTTCTAATTTTAAAGCTTTCAGTGTTCCCTTGTTCTGTTCTAAAAACTGCATCTTGGTCTATGTACAGGTTCTTCATGAGCACAATTAAGTGTTCCAGAATACTCATTCTCTACAATGTTGTTCATAGTTTGTCCATATCACGATCCACACAATCAATAACCTTTACATAATCAATAAAGCACAAGTAAACATCTTTCTGGAATCTCTGCTTTCAGCCAAGATCCATCTGACGTCAGCAGTGGTATCTCTCTTCCACGTCCTCGTGTGAATCCCACTTGAACCTTTGGCAGTTCCCTGTCAATTTGCTGTTGTAGACATTTTTTTAATTATCTTTAGCAAAAATGTAGTTGCATGCAATATTAATGATGTTGTCTAATGATTTCTACATTGTTATGTCACCTCTCTTTGGAATGGAGACAAATATGGCTAGGTCGCTGTCTTCTAAATAACTTGATGGAGGTAAGTGAATGCCTGCAGTGCTGTATCAGTTTGTTGAAAGATTCCATCAATTCCTGGAGCTTTGTTCTTTGTCAATGCCCTAGGTATACCATGGACTTCCTTCAGTATCATCGACTCCTGATCATATGCTCCCTCCTGAAATTGTTGAACTTAGAACATTTCTTTTTAGTACAATGACTCTGTATTCCTTCCATCTTCTCTTGATGCTTTCTGCATCATTCAGTATTTTGCCCATAGAATCCTTCAGGAATTTCAATTTGAGGCTTGAATTTTTTCTTTATAGTTCTTTGCACTTGAGAAATGCTGAGCGTGTTTTTCCCTTTGGGTTTTCTGACTTCAAGACTATGTCCATTTCATTATAATACTTGACTTTGTCTTCTCGAGCTGCCCTTTGAAATTTTCTATTCAGCTCTTTTACCTCCTTGTTTCTTCATTTACTTTAGCATCTCTACACCGGAGAGCAAATTTCAGAGTCTCTTCTGACATCCATTCTAATCTTTTCCATCCTTCTTGTTTTATTAATGACTTTTTGCTTTCTTCCTGTAAGTTCCTGATGTCATCCCACAACTCTTAGTTTTAGTCATTAGTGTCTAATGCATCAAATCTGTTCTTGAGATGATCTCAAAATTCAGGTGGGATATATTCAAGGTCATCTTTTGGCTCTCGTGGACCTACTGTAATTTTCTTCAGCTTCAGCCCAAACTTGCATATGATCTATTTCACAGTCTGCCCTGTTTGGGCTGATGATAAAGAGCTTTCCCACCATCTCTTCCCACAGATGTAGTCTTTCTGATTTCTGTGTATTTCATCTGGTGAGGTCCATGTGTATAGTCTTCTTTTACGCTGTTAATAAAAGTTATTTGCAATGAGGAAGTTATTGGTCTTGCAGAATTCTATCATATAATCTCCAGCATTGTTTCTGTCACCAAGGCCATATTTTCCAATTATTGATCCCTCCTCTTTCCAACCTTTGCATGCCATTCCAGTAATTATCACTACATCATGATTTCATGTTTGAGCTACATCAGACTGAAGAAGCTGGTAGAATTCTTCAATTTCATGGTTACTGGTTTAGTGGTTGGTGCATAAATTTGAGTAATAGTTGTATTAACTGGTCTTCCTTGTAGGCATATGGATAGTATCCTATCACAGACAGCATTGTATTTCAAGATAGATCTTGAAATGTTCTTTTTGATGATGAATGTGATGCCATTCTTCATTAATTTGTCATTCCCAGCATAGTAAATCATCTGATTGTCAGATTCAGAATGGCCAATTCCAGTCCATATCAGCTTACTAATGCCTAGAATATCGATGTTTATTCGTTCCATATCTGTTTTTTACCACTTCCAATTTTCCTAGATTCATTTTTCGTACATTCCATGTTTTGATTATTAATGGGTGTTTACAGCTGTTTCCTTGTTTTGAGTTGTGTCCCATCAGAAGATGAAGGTCCCAAAGACTTTACCCATTTGTGTCATCATGTTGAACGCTACTTTGAGGAGGCAGCTCTTTTCCAGTCTATTCTGAATGCCTTCCAACATGAGGGGCTCATCTTCTGACACTGTATCTGACAATATTCTGATGGTATATGACAGTGTTCCGCTACTATTCATAAGGTTTTCAGTGACTAAATATTCGGAAGCAGTCCATCTTTCCTTCTTCCTAGTCTGTCTTAGTCTGGAAGCTCAGCTGAAACCTGCCCATCATGGGTGACCCTGCTGGAATTTAAAGTACCAGTGGCATAGCTTCCCAATCACAGCAAAACACAAGCCACCACGATGCGACAGACTGACAGACAAGTGGTGGAATTTGCCCATAGAATCCTTCAGTATTTTAACTTGAGGCTTGAATTTTTTAATTTAGTTTTCTCAGCTTGAGAAATGCTGAGTGTGGTCTTCCTTTCTGTTTTCTAACTCCAGGTCTTTGCACACATATCATTAGAATACTCTGATAGTTAAGGGTTTGTATCAACTTTACTAAGCCAGGAATCTTTGAGGTTTATCTATTAAAACATAGTAATCTCCCATGATGACATCAAATACAATTTAATCACATCTATGCAAATAATCTGCTATAAGCAACCAACCAATTGAAAAAAAAAGTAGTATCTTCCCAGGGGTGTGGCTTATAACGTCTTTCATTTTATAAGAGATAAAATGAAAATTAATTAGCAAGAGGGCCCTACTGCCTCCAAGAACAAAGGGCCAGGAGTAGAGGGCAGCCTTCGCACCTGTGACCTGCATTGTGAACCTCCTAGATCCAGGCAAAGGTTAATGTTAAGACACTTGGAGACCTTCAACAAATGCTGGGCCTACAGCTGTGCAAAGCTGACAAGGAGTTTTACCCAAACCCAATAAAGAGAGAGCCTTCCCCTATAGCTGACTCTCTGAATGTAGACATCTAGCCTCCTAAACCGAGATGAAATCTCGGTTAAAACCATCCAGATCCAGTTGGTACTCTGTTACAGCAGCACTAGAGAACTAAGCCTTTGTGTTCTAAAGCTGCCCTTTGAAATTTTCTGCTTAGCTTTTGGTCATTTTTTTCCTGTCTTTTTAATGATCTTTTGCTTTCTTCATGTATTATGTTCTTAATATCATTCCAAAACTCTTCTGGTCTTCTGTCATTAGTGTCTAATGCATCAAATGTGTTCTTAAGATGGTCTCTAAATTCAGGTGTGTTAATACTCAAGTGTGGAGTCAGTCCTGCTGTGGTGCGGTAGGATAAACACTCAAGTTCAGTGATTCAAGCATACCAGCTGCTCTTTTTGGAAACCCTATACAGGGTCACTATGAGTCAGAACCAACTTGACGGCACTTAACAATAACATACCCAAGGTTGTATTTTGGCTTTCATGGGCTTGTTTTAATTTTCTACAGCTTCAACCTGAATTTGCACAGGAGTCATTGATGATCTGTTCCACAGTTAGCCCCTGGCCTTGTTTAGGCTGATACTGGATTTCTCCATCATCCCTGTCTATCTATGGATATGGTTGATCTGAGTCCTGTGTTTCATATGGGGGGTCCATGTGTACAGTCTTTGTTTATGTTGAAAATATTTGCAGTCAATAAGTCATTGGTCTTGCAAAGTTCTATCATGAGATCGCCATCATTGGTTCGTCATCAAAGGCTATATTTTCCAACTACCAAGCCTTCCTTTTTGTTTTAACTTTCATATTCCAATCACCAATAATTATCAATGCCTCTTGATCACATGTTTGATCAATTTCAGACCACAGAATAGAATTCTTCAATTTGTCATCATTTGCTTTATTGGTTAGTGCTTAATTTGAATAATATTTCCATGTAGGCATATGGATACTATGCTGTCAGAGATAGCATTGCACTTCAAAATAGATCTTGAAATTTCTGTTTTGACAAAGACTGCGAAACCGTTTCTCCAGTATAGTAAACTGTGTGACTAGCTGATTCAAAATGACCAATACCAGTCCATTAGCCCTTAGGATTTTGATCTTTATGCATTCTGTTTCATTTTTGACAACTTCAAATTTTCTTAGATTTATATTTTATACATTTCTTTAATTATTAATAGATGGTTTCAGCTCTTTCTTATTTTGAGTTGTGCCCCATCATCAAATAGAAGTTCTGAAAGCTTGGCTCCATCCACACCATAAAGTTGGATGCTCCATTGAGGAGGCAGCTCTTCCCAGTTGTATTTTGAGTGTCTTCTAATCAGAAGGACTTATCTTTCAGCACTATAACAATGTTACTCGTAAAGTTTATAGTGGCTGATTTTTCAGAAATGGTTTGCTGTTCCTTCTTCGTCGGTTTTACTTGGGAAGCTCCTCTGAAGCGTGATGGACCCATGGGTGAATCTGCTGGTGTGTGAAATACTGGTGGCATAGTTTACAGCAACATGGAAACCACCACAGTGCAACAAACTGACAGACAAGCCACCACACTACGACAAACTGACAGACAAGCCACCACAGTGCGACAAACTGACAGACAAGCCACCACAGTGCGACAAACTGACAGTCAAGGGGTGGTGATAAATGTTAGCTATTATTAAGACATTTCAGAATACCTGAAGTATAGGAGAGAAAGAGCAAAATATTATTTAATAGACAGTGTTTCTACATTTTTTTATTTTAGTATCTTGAACTCTTTAGACAAGTTTACCCTTTTAAGTCATTTGTAAACGTAAGAATTTTTAAATGAAATTTTTCTCTTATAGAAATACAGAAAATCATAGAAGTTCCATGTAAACTGCAAAAAGATGAAGATTTGACACAGGATTATGAAGAGTGGAAAAGGAAGATTTTAGAAAATGCTGCCAAAACACAAGAGGCTACCACAGAGGGATTTTAGCATCTGGACTGGCACGAACTACTAGCCTGCAGTGCGCCTGCCCCTCCGGAGGCTTTGACATTATGTTTGAACTTTCTTACCTTTTATAACAAGGACCTTAGACTTAATAGCAAAGAAACCAGGACTGTTTGAGCATCGTGCTGCCCCTGATAATAGGCCACATTCTCTGATTTGCAGAGATGTTGCCCACCATAGGCCTAGACTCTCTTACAAAATGAAATTGGGTTTGTTTTAAGCAAACCTATCCAGAATATGAAATTCAGGCTATAAGGAGTCTACAGATTTTATTTAAGTTTTAGTAGAAGTTTCTTTGATGGAATTCATATATGGAACAACCTAGGTTAATAAATGTTATTTTTATATGCATTTGAATTGTACTGTCATCAAGTTTGGGAATGTCTGTGTCCCACAACAGCTGTGTTGACTCTAGCAGGAGAAGAGCCGGGTTTGCTGTTCACTGAAGCACACTGCTCACCAGAGCACAAGCTTAAACCAGACTTGTGGGTTTAAATCTGGCTCAGCCACTTACTATATATGAAACCTTGAGCTACTTAATTAACTTCTTTATACCTTTTCTAAAATTAGGAATCAAAATGGTTCTCTCATAGAGTCATTTGGAGGAATATCTGAAATAATGCAAGTAAAGCAATTATGAGTGAGTATTCTGTAAATACTAGTATATAGAGAGAGTCAAATTATCTGTAGAGAAATCACATAATCAATTACATATGAGCATCCTATCAAGGACTCCTGGTGTGGTGCTGTGGGTTAATGTGCAGGACTGCAAAGTCAGTTTGAAGCACAAGGTCAGGGGTTCAACCCCACCCACCAATCCTTGGAAACCCTATACAGGGTCACTATGAGTCAGAACCAACTCAACAGCACTGAACAGCAACTTAACAGCAACAAGAATTCTATTATAAAGTCAAGAAATGTACCAAGGTTATTTCTATTCAGAATGATAATAATACTGTTTATTGTGTACCATCTAGTTGATTCCAACACAGAGGGATCCTGTATAGGGTTTCTAAGAATGGCTGGTGGGTTTGCACTGCTGACCTTGCGGTCAGTAGTCCAGTGCTTACCCAACAGCACCACTCCAGAGCTCATCAATAAGTGTTTGCTTTTTACCTGTTATAAGTAAGGCACCCAGCTACCTGCTACATATTAATCTAAATTTCTACAAGCAATTTCTTTTTTTCCCCTGCCCTTTTTAATTCTGGATAAAGAAGTAAGATCATCGAATGATTCCAGTGCAGGCATAATGTGCCCCAAGCGCTGTGGGAGAACATTGGCTTTAAACCCACACTTCGGGGTTTAAAATCTGACTCTGCCACTTCTGCCCTAAGAAAATCTCAAAATCTTATTGAACCTCAGTTTCTTCATATTTAAAATGGAAGTATTGTTTACACTGTGAGAAATAAAGGTAATAACAAGAGTTAAGTCAAAAAGTGTTGCTGCTGAGATTCTAGTTAAGGCCTTCAAAAAGATCCATTCAAAACAATGGCTTCTAAGGGGCTCTGCTGAGTCACATATGAGGCATACATCAGCTCAGAAGGTCATCTTGATAGATTTTCTGGAAGGACCACAGGGCAAACAGATTTAACATAAGTTTTTTTGTGTTCTTTCTTGTAAGTTTCCTCATAGTTTTAGTATTTCCATGTTCTTGGATGTTCATTTTCTTGGTATGTTGTGTAGTGTTAATTTTCTTTGAGGTTACCTTATATTCCATTGGCTTTTCCCTACATTTAGTGCAGTCAGTTTTATCCTGTGATCTACCTGACCATCTGGATCTCTGCTCCTATGTGTTTACCTTCTTCCACACTGTAATTGTTTTGATCATAGACTGACCTCCCAGATTCTTTGAGTTTGTTCTTATAGTTTTGTTCTTTACTCTTCCATCTGTCGATTTAGTTCTGGGAGGTGCAGCCATGTATATCAATCTCTGGTTGTTGTGTGCTCTTGTTGGTTCTCAGTCCACAGAACTCCCTTTAGGATGTTTTGTAGTGCAGGGTTGGCTTTAGTAAAATCCCTTAGCTTTTGTTTATTCTGGAATGTTTTAATTACACCATTGTATTTGATTGATAGCTTTGCTAGATAAAGGATTCTTGGTTGACACTTATTTTCTTTCAGGGTTTTATATATGTCTCCCCATTGCCTTCTTGCTTGCATGGTTTCTGCTGAGAGAATCGAGCTTAATCTGACTTGATTGCCTTTGTATGTAATACTTTTCTTTTCCCTAGCTGCTTTCAGGATTCTGTCCTTATCTTTGATTTTAGAGAGTTTAATTATGATTTTCTTTTGGGGTCTATCCTTCCTGGGGTTTGTTGAGCTTCTTAAATGTTTATCTTTTCACTTTCAGTATGTTAGAGAAATTTTCTTCCAGCAGTTCTTCAACTCCGTCGACTTGTGTGAGTCTTCCTGTTCTGGAATGCCGATTATTCTTACGTTATTCCTCTTCATGTTGTCCGACATGAATCTTAGACCTTCTTCATATTTTTTAATCCTTTCTGTTTGCTCTTCTATTTTAGTGGTATTGAGAGATTTGTCTTCCAGCACACTAGTTCTACCTTCCATCTCTTCAATTCTACTCCTTTGCCCTTTCAGAGTATTGTCTATTTCTGATATTCTATTATTGATCGTTTGGACCTCTTTCTGTAGGTTTTGAATTGTTTCCAATGCTGTATCTCTCTATCTTATTTGATTGTTCCCTATAGCGTTTTCCTGACTTATTTTTCTCAACTCCATTGTAAAGTGTTTTGAAACATTTTATAATCATTTTTCTGAATTCCTTCTCAGGCATTTCCAAGGCCTGCCCTCCTTCCAGAATGGAGTCCAAGTCTACCTCTAGGTCATTTGTCTCAGATATTTTATCATGTTTCTGGACATATGCTAATTGGTCATCTGCTTTTGCTTCTTGGACATGTTTAGTGTTTATCTGTGGCCTTAATACTTAATTGAGTGTATGTTTTGGTATTTTGCATGCTTTCTGATTGCCTTCAGGTAGATGTGATGAGGATATGGGCCTCCCTTTTCACTCTTCTTACTGCCTAACTCAGAGTAATTTTCACAGGTGTTGTCTGTCTCCCTGGTATATGGCAATTGTATTGGTTCTTGCCTGGATTTTGGTGTTTTATAGAGTGTTATTGTAGCTTGGCCATATTGCAGCAGTTGCTGTCTCTTTTTGGGTAATACAGGTAGAGAAAGAGTCCCCTAAAAGTAAAAGGGGGAGCATAAAACAGCAACAGCAAAAAAAACACCAAAAACAAAAAGAACAATAATAACAAAAAACTAGACTGGATACTATAGTCTATAATTGCAGAAAAGGGAGAGGAGAAGAAGAAAAAGAATCTGTAGCCTAATATGCGTATGACATTAATGTCCTCTTTCAAGTCTTGCCTTCTAAGCCGCCTGATAAATTTCACCATACCACTGTTAGTTGTTATGGTGTACCTCAGGTTTTAATTTAATTTTCAGCCTGTTTTATTTTTAAATACTCTTTTCCCTCTCCACACCCCTTGTTCTGGACTTTTCGCTATTAAAAAACAGTTCAGGGCCGGCTCCTGGGCTGAGAATATCTGTTCACTTGTGTGGCAGAAGAATCCACCAGTGATGGGGGTCGGGGGTGCTCACTTGCTCAGGCTCCCCCTCTAGTCACCAGAATGGAGGTGCACAAATAGTGGGGAGGGGAGGGCCAATGAACAGATACCAAAAAGAAAAAAATCACAGCAAAGTAAAACCGACAAGTGTATTGCCTACTTTTGCTCTGAGGTTCCCGTGATGTTATTCCGCGGTGGGTCTGTTCCTCCACTTGATCTTGCCCAAATTGTTGGCTCCGGGCCATGGAGCCCTGCAGATTAAAAAATACGTGATTTCTTACTTCTGCTACAAGTTCCACTAGCTATAAGCCCCTAAACTTTTAAAATATTCGTACCTATGTGGTTCAGAGTTTTGGAGCTTTGCCTGAACCCTCTTCACCTGGTATTCTGTGGTATTGCTGATGGCTAACTTCACTGCACCTTCTACCCTATCCGCCATCAAGCCCCACCTCTTAACATAAGCTTTAAGAAAATTGAAAACTGCATTGGTGAGAAAAAGGTCAGAATTTACACTCAAAAATTACTTTTCCATCACGACAGTGCACCTGCTTATTCTTTGAGGGTAGCAAGGACTGTCTTAAGAGAATTTCATTGGGAAACCTTACCCCATTCATTCTACAGCCCGGATCTTGCCCCTTCAAGCTTCTTTTTGGTCCCAAAACTCAAAGGAACATTGAAAAGGAAAACAAAGTCCCTCAAGGGTTCTGAAAATGCTCTTTTGATGTGGTATAAATTGAAGAATGCAGAATTCTTCAGGGAAGCATTATTGTTAAGTGCCATCGAGTCGGTTCCAACCCATAGCAACACTATACAGTTTCTAAGTGGCTGGTGAGCTTGAACTAACAACCTTGTGATTCAAACCCAATTTTGCAGTCCAACCCATTACCCCACAATGTCACACCAGGAAAGGGCTACAGGGATAGAAACACCACTTGAGAAGTAAATAGACCTAAATGGAGAGTTTGTTGAGAAACCACATCTTCACATTCTGATGTTTTTGTTTAATAAAGGTTTCTATGATTTTATAGCAATACTTGTTGAGTAACTCTCATGTATTTACTAAATGGTAGCTTTAATTACTACTTTGATCTAAATGGCTAAGTGATTCTTTTTCTCTCTTAATGTTTAATTTGTTTTTATTTGGTTCCAAGAATTCTATTTCTAGCTTTGGATCAAAAGCAATTCACTCATTACCATGTAAAATTAAGCACATTCACTTTTAGACTATACTATTAAGGTGGGATTCTGGTCACTCTGAAATGTCTGAGTCTTATTTATATACAGTATGAAAATAAATATAAAAAATATTTGTTTCTGACTTTGCCTTCATGATGTTGTGCCATCACTTAAAAGTCAGTTCCAACCCATCGTGATCCTGTATAGGGTTTCTAAGGAGCAGCT